TAAGACTGTAGATGAATGATCAAAGCGTTTGGGAGTGAATATTTCAGAGGAAACCCGCAGCGATGATATTGAGAGTGAACGGAACAGCCTCCTGTTCTCACTTAAGCTTAATTCAGTTCACGGTCCTCCACAGACTTTACTACAGTAAGGCGAGACCCAAGATGAACACAAATGTAAGAGACACATGTGAGAGAAATCATTCAGCTGAAGCAGATCTGGCTCACATGTTTTGGGCATGGACAGCCTGTTTGATTACTGGACAACTATATTTATAATTCTGTCAGAGGCATATAATAAAAACATTAGGCCTAGCTTTGAAGTGAAGTTTGTTTATAAAGTAATGTCGAGAGGATCAGGTGCTTATGATTGACCACAGCCGGTCCTGCATTATTCTATTTATGATTGACCAATCGGACGATTCCTAAGCCACTATAAACACCCTCAGCTCCATATCACAGCCATCTTCATCATTTGAAGAATCCCCCCTCCACCCCTACTCCTCCTCCTCTTTCCTAGATGGGTGGCACGGCAGTGGCGCAGTGGTTAGCACTGTTCCCTCACAGCAAGAACGTCACTGGTTCTAGTCCTTACCAAACCAGCTGACGTTTCTGTGCGGAGTTAACACGTTCTCCCTGTGCTAACGTGTGTTTCCCCCGGGTTCCTCAGTTTCCTCCTTCCGTCCAAAAACATGCAGCTTAAGTTAATTGACTAATCAGCACATAGACATGCTGCTAGTCAGTAGTTATCTCTTAAGAGCGATCACTATCTGTTCATCAGCTACAGCAGGGGAGTTCTCCACATCTACCTGAGCTCAAACTCCCCTTTCGCCCTGCAAACCGGAGGGAGCCCCAGGCTTGAGGATCTTATGAGCTTAGGGCTTTCTCCCAGGACAGCATGCCAAACACACTTTATAATCGCTCATCAGCTGAGGGTGAACTCTTGAGATGGCTGTTTTGGAGTTCTTGAGCAAGGTACAGTCCTGTCCAGTAATTATCAGGACGCTCGTGCCTTCACGTGTCTTATGGCTCAGAAGAATATTGCTTAATTGGAAATCAAGATAAACACGTTTAGTTTCACTCTGGTGTAGGAATATGATGCTGTTTTTAAGATTGGAGGAATTTTAATACTCTCTTAGAGGATCCGCTGAACATGTTTATACAGTCCAGTGATCTCACACTTCCCCCACACTAAAACTAACAGTGAATTAAAGGTCTACGCTTACAAGGATAACGCAATCAAACTCACTGGGCAAACACTGAGGTTAAATACTTCCTCACTGTACTATCAGAACTCTGTGACTGCCAATATTTAATTAATTACATTTTTTTTCATTCATTTATTTATTTATTTTGAAGGGGGGGGGGGGGGGTGGTTATGGGGAAAATGTAACAAAAAGGAAAGGTCTTGTCAAGTCTTTGTGTGTGTTATTACACCTCGTTCTTCATTCATTCATTTTCTTGTCGGCTTAGTCCCTTTATTAATCCGGGGTCGCCACAGCGGAATGAACCACCAACTTATCCAGCAAGTTTTTATGCAGCGGATGCCCTTCCAGCTGCAACCCATCCCTGGGATCATCCACACACAGACACACACACACACTCATACACTACGGACAATTTAGCCTACTCAGTTCACCTGTACCGCATGTGTTTGGACTGTGGGGGAAACCGGAGCACCTGGAGGAAACCCACACCAACACGGGGAGAACATGCAAACTCCACACAGAAACGCCAACTGAGCCGAGGTTCGAACCAACGACCTTCTTGCTGTGAGGCGACAGCACTACTGACTGCACCACTGCCTCGCCCTCAGCTTGTTCTTCTTACAATAAAAGACATTAATAAAAAAGGCAAAGCGAGATCACTCTGCTTCCCCATCCTCAGATTACTCTCGTGTTTCACATGGTGGTGCATGATTTCTTTAAATTAACCCTGATTTCAGAATGTTTTGGATATTTGGAGTAGAAACAGACCCAAACTCTGAGCATTATAGTGCAGTGTATAATCAAAGCGTGTTGATCTGCCTGAAACAGATCCGCTTTGAGGATGAACACACCGCCTCTGATCAACAGAATCTGATTCACTTTGAAGCTGTGTGATGGCAGGAGAGCAGAACCGAGAGAGAATGAAGAGTAAAGAGCAGATCTTCTGTAAAGACGCTCCACTACTGAACTGAACACAGACGTCAGGATCATGTCAGAGCTCTGGAAAAGCTGCTCACACACCTTCTGAAGGAAACGTCACAGCAAAAATCAAGACAGAAATCAGAGAGTCGGAGATCAGGACATGAAGAGCGAACTCAAACATTCAGCATTACAGTGTCATTTCTGAAAACAAGACTACGCGGTGGCGCAGTGGTTATCACTGTGGCCTCACAGCACTCAGGTCTCTGGTTTGAGTCTCGGCTGGGTCAGTTGGTGTTTCTGTGTGGAGTTTGCATGTTCTCCCCGTGTTGGCGTGGGTTTCCTCCGGGTGCTCCGGTTTCCCCCACAGTCCAAACACATGCGCTATAGGGGAACTGATCAACTACACTGGCTGTAGTGAATGAGTGTGTGTATGGGTGTTTCCCAGTACTGGGTTACAGCTGGACAGTCATCCGCTGTGTAAAACATATGCTGGAATAGTTGGCGGTTCATTCCGCTGTGGCGGCCCCTGATTAATAAAGGGACTAAGCTGAAGGAAGATGAATGAGCTAGACTAGATGTTCTGCTTGTCCAGAAAGCACTTCTTGTTCAGATAATGGGACTGGAACAGACAGAGACTGAGTATGAGCGGTGTGTGTGTGTGTGTGTGTGTGTGTGATGTTCACTCTTCTCCACAGTAACCCAGCCGTCAGGTCAGAGGTGTGTATGTGTGTGTTCTCTGTCCTGTTATTCTTATTAAGATGGAACTGAAGGGGTCTTAAAGGCTGACGGACACTCAGAGGCTAATCAGCAGCAGAACCAATCACACACACACACACACGTTAGACTATCAGGAGACGACACGGCAGACAATACAGCAACAACACACTCCTGCAGCACACTCATTCAAACATGCGCACACACACATTACCACACACACCTACTCATTTATTCACAGTCACACACACGCACACACATACTCTCTTACTAATACAAACTCACACACGCAGGCACTTACACAAACACACTTTTTCGCACAAGAGCACATACACACACAGTCTCATCTATTCACAGTCACACACACAATTACACGCACACAAAAACCACATACACACACACATACACTCATTTATTCAAAATCACATGCACGCACAAACACACACTCTCTCTAATACACTCTCACACACATATTCATTCACACACACTCCTATTTATTCAGACACAAAAGCGTGCACACACACACACACACACACGCAGGACGCAGAGGAGAAAGTGCAGCTGTTCCTCAGGTGAGTCTGACTCTGGATCAGTGTGTTCACCTGTGCAGATGAAGATGTAAAACTCATTGTTTGTGTGTGTGTGTGTGTTATCTACATTACAGCACACACACACACACACACACACACACACACACACACGATCTGTGTTTAACACCACAGTGTTCACTAGCGTCTCCACACACTCAGGAGGAGCTCCAGCATCTGTCTGCAGAAGCTGGAGGAGACACTCTATACACACACTTACAGGAGCACAGCTATAACGTGCACAACACACACACACACACACACACACACACAGGTATATTGACTTTGCGCTATTCATAAGCACAATACACACACTTCTGCTTTATATACAGCTTAACCCGACCATAACCCTCACAGACCTTACACCAGAACTTTATTTAAATCAGCTTTACAAATGAGGACGTCACACACACATATATGCACACACATACTCACACACACACACACACATATGCACACGCATACTCACACACACACACACATATATGCACACGCATACTCACACACACACACACACATATGCACACGCATACACATATGCGTACATGCATGTATGCACACACATACAAACTCACTAACACAAGCACACACACACATGCGCGCACACACACACACACACACCCCTTAAATACTTAACGCATGTTTTTCCTGCAGGAACAGCTGATGATGTGTGTGTGTGTGTGGATCAGGACGCAGCGTTTAAAAGGCTTTGTCTGCAGATTGAGGTCAGTGTATAGAGGACTTACATCTGTGCACACACACACACACACACACACACGCACACACACACACACACACACACACACACATCTCCAGCTCATCTGTGTGTTCAGATATATGAATTATGGTGTCTGACATATCCCTGATATCAGGCTGGAGTCAGTCACAGGAGCATCTGATCCCGAGTCAGTCAAGCAGAACGCAGAAGGCAAATACACTGTGTGTGTGTGTGTGTGTGTGTGTGTGTGTACCACACCCACTGACATCATATCAACACTGAGACTGTGTGTGTGTGTGTGTGTGTATATATGCAGGAACACACCACAGAGATGTTTGTGTGTGTGTGTGTGTGTGTGTGTGTGTGTGTGTGTGTGTGTGTTTGTGTGTGTGTGTGTGTGT